TGACACAAAAATGACAATGTGGCTATTCCAATACCCAAAAAAAAGCTTCTTGGATTAAAATGAAAAATTTTTGTTTGCTGATGATTCTGAAATTTGGTATAGGAGCCTAGATATTGATTCTAAACAACTTTTCTTATAAAAGTTTTGTCGTATTTGCAACACATTATAAATAATTTACTTTTTTGAAAATTTCCAAGACATATCTACTTGATTTTTTAAAACTGAAAATAATTTGTTTTTTGCTGTAGCTGATTTGCTCGCCAAAAACTCAAAAACTAAAAAACTAAATACAACTGAACGAAACGACACAATAATTTTGATAAAATGTCACTCGTCAAATGTGATTAAAATTTAGATTAGGTAATACAAAACAAGAAAACACATTCGTTTTTTACTCCGTCTTCTTCTATCAACAAGTTAAATTTATCTTTGTGGAATTTTCATTTAAAGATAATGCGTATTAACGATCTGAGTTACTGAGTGACACCTACTGTAACGTTGCGGTGGATAATTTACGTAAGAGGTGGACTATAGTTATCGCAGCGTTTTATTGAAATAAGGGCACGCATTTTAAATTCTTTACATTTTTTACACCGCTCAACTCTCAATGTTCGGACTGTACATTAGTGATAATTTCAAAGTCAAGTTATTAGGTATCTAAAGGCTATTTTATACGAAATATCAACCGAATAACATTGCTATTTTATTTTTTCCGAACCCCTACGTGTGAAATGTCTTTTATAACTGCAAGTATTTTCATGCTAATTGTGATTTGTCATTAAAAATATCTGTCAGCAAAACAGTTATGAGCATTAAGCTCATACCATTTAGCGCATTTTGTAATCTTTCTTTAAGAATATTTTTTTTAAATACAGCGTCATTTACATAAAATATCGACTCTTGCAAAATGTGGATGCAACCAATATTGCGCATTAAAATTGATTCATTTTTTATTTACTAAAAAATCACGAATTCAAGAAAACTAGAGTTAGAGCTAGAGTTCTTCTGACAAATTCAAGCATTGTTCTAACTAAATAAAAATTATTTTTACTTATAAAATTAATTATCGCTTGTTATATCAAGATTTTAAAAATATAACAATTTTTTTAATTTGTTTTACCCACAGCCAGTATATTATTAGGTCATAACACATACAACTACTATGAGACGTCTCTAATATCAATAAAACGCATGGGTCTTATAAAAAATAAATAGCAACCGTTTCGTGATTAGTTTTCTTTACTTCCGAATAAAAATTAATTTGATAAACATCACTTTAAAACGTCAAATAAAATTTTGTTTTAGTTTATATTGTCTGCTTGTGGATAAAATGTTGTATTGTATACGGGTCTTACAATAAATAACTATTATAATTAGGAAGGTATATGAAGTCTAAAATAAGTTTTTTTTTATTATTTAAATTTACTTAAATTTACTACTTAGGAACTAATAGAAACACGTAGTTTTGTTGAACTTATATAAGAAAATCATGATTATAAATAACTTAATATTAGTTGAAAGCTAAAAAAAAAATTGTTTTTCTGAACTTTTTAAATGTGTGAAACTTTTTCGTCGCATTATGAAATATTAGGAATAATTGGCATTGTAGAAAGTTGGTATGGGGGGTGAGCATTGAACGACAGGCTGGAGGAGCTTTGGGGCGGCTGGGGTGGCGAGAGTAGCCGGCCCTGACAAGCCATGATGGATCGGGCTGGGGCCACCGTTTGCTAAAACCTTTCTGCTTAGAATGTGACAGCGTACACAACGGACGGTCTAACATACAACTTTCAGGATTAAGAGCTCAAAAGCATTCCAGATGCACTCACGAACTAATTTTATATAAAAAAAAATCGTTCTAAAAAAACACTCTATGCGTAAAATATTGGAGAAAATAGATAAATTTTGTAGAAATTGGGTTGTATTTTAGGTCGATATTTCAGGCAAGAATCTTTCATATTTCTCGAAATAGAAAAGCAGCCACTCAGTCACTGGCTTGTCGAATGCTCAATGAGCACAATCAGTAAAATGGAAATGTCGCTGCCGTTCTATTTCCATATTTGACATCTGTCTCACCGGATACGTCTTATTTTGTTGCTGTGTTTGCATTAACGACTTTTATTTGGTTCCAGTCTTCTATATTGAATAGTGAATATAAACTAACAAATAATTTCATAGATTGAAAACGGTGCTCTAATACATATTAATGACTATGTATTTCACTTTTAATAAACAGTACGACATATCCGTTTGAGCTTCTGTCGATGTTATTTAATGACATTCTGAGATAATTTTATGTGTTGAGAAGTATTATTTTTATGTAGACAGTTATTCAATATGATTAATACTTACTTTGTTTTTTAAAATACAAATAATATCGAGATGAAAGGTCGATTAACTACTAAAATAAACCAACAAGTTCTAAGTGACTAACAAATTTTACCAATTATGTTTTTTTTTCACTTGCAACATTTTTGTTATAAAAAGATGTACGATCAACAAATGTTTATATAAAGCACAGATTTTGTTAAATTTTTGTGGCATTTTTGCCAATTTTTCACTCTTACTCTATTTATTTCTTTTGGAAAAATAATTTTCCAAGTTTTTTTACTACTGGCTATTAGAAGAGGAAATAAGGAATCTGTATCCTAAATTGTAACTCTGTTCAATGCTATTTGTGGCTTTTATTGTCAAAATTTTTGTACCTTTACCAAATAATTATAAAAAAAAACATATACAAAATCATCAGTACCATTAAATAAACATAAAAAAATGTCAAATTTCAAAAAATAAATGTCAAAAGTTTTTAACAGATAGGATTTTTTAAATATTTTTTTCATGTTCCTGGTATCTTATCTTACTTGAAATTTTTCTCTGGGGCGCGAGTTCTGGCGCACCCTGTATAATATAATATTTACATAATATAAAATAATAATTTTATATGATATATTTCTAGACAGGTACTTCTACTTAATAACTAAATCAATTTTTTTATTGCTATGGTGTTTTATTTTAAGCGTTATTGTATATTGTCTATAATTGACTGTAATATAACTTTCAGTAATGATTTCAAAATAGAAAACTTTTCTCTTCCAGCAACACTTTATTGTTTTTCAGACAGCACTTTGTTACCAAGGTGTATTGATATGTTTTGACTTTAAGAAGCTTTGGTAAAAAAATTACACTTAATTATGTATACATATACTGTATGTATAGTGTGTGCATAGGCGTTTGACAATATTGCAAAGTGAGTGAAAACTGAATTAAGATTAGTTTAATTTTAAATCAAAAAAAGGTGATTATTATTAATATTAGTGTAAGTATATGTACTATATTTAAAATAAATATGATTACTGAGGCCATCAGAAAATAATTATGGATTATAAACCAGTTAATTTAAAATTTGACCGGTTTAATAATTCAAGTAAATAAATAAATAAATAAATATAAATCTTGAGTAGAGCACAATTTTGTCTAGTTTTCATAACTATGTAGGTAGTTTTACAAACTTTCTAATTTTTATTAGAATTTGGCAACGATCAATACGCGCTATTAGTGTGACGTCAGCAAGGTACCTGACTGTACCTTTGAAGCTAAACAAATAAAAGTTTATTTCTTGAATCCTGGACGTGTAGGGAGATTGTTTCTAAGGAAATAGTTGCTATGAAAAATATGTGTCGTTTCGTAATGATTTTAACAATTGTAGTCAACATTTCTGTAATTTAATCTGTTCTAACCTCACTTTCTGTGTACGTCAAAAACATTAGGGCTATTAGAGGTGACGTCACAGACGCGACTGTACTGAAGCTAAACATACAGTGTTGCCAGTTGTGATACTAGAGTACCAAATAGATACTAGATTTTTTTTACTAGATATTTATATTTACTTGTAAACAAATAATAATTTATATTCTCAGCCAAATACACATTATGTGAATGTTAATATTTTTTATTTTGTTTTGTTTTGGTACGACCTATCCACTCCTGTCGTTTGCAACATTCTGGCAATGCTGTACACATATTTTTGACGTACACAGAAAGTGAGGTTAGAACAGATTAAATTACAGAAATGTTGACTACAATTGTTAAAACCATTACGAAACGACACACATTTTTCATAGCAACTATTTCCTTAGAAACAATCTCCCTACACGTCCAGGATTCAAGAAATAAACTTTTATTTGTTTAGCTTCAAAGGTACAGTCACGTACCTTGCTGACGTCACACTAATAGAGCGTATACGTTTACTTATTTTTTTCGTTTGAAGAGACATCTGTAGATGGTATTTTAAACAGTGTAGGCCGGTGTAGAAGTCTACACTAAAGTTAATTTTTGTTGAAAAGAAAATTATCCAGTAAAATTATCAAAAATGTAGGAAACTACTTTGTACTGATGACTGCACAAAATAATAGTTACCAGTACCACAAAACTGATTTGTGTTATTTTATAACAACAAAATTTTAAAGTGTGCAAATAATCTGTACATAAAATGTCCACCTACATTATACAGAAATTATATAAATACAGAAATTTGTTTTGGACAAACCAAATTCAAGTTTTCTACCATATTGCTGAAGGTTTAACACTTCACTGATAGATGGCAGAGGCGTTTGCAAGCTTTTATCAAGCTTTGAACCGAGCTTTCAATATTATTTTTCAAGTTACATACGTGTTCTATAATTAACTTAGGTTATATATAATTGTCATTGTTTATACAATTTTAATTGTAATTTTAAATATGAATTGATTGCAAAAAACTGTGTTCAGATTAGCTGACTTGTGGTCGGGGAGGGAAAGAGACGCTTCAGGGTTGGATGACTCACTCAGCTTTTAGGGTAATCCATCAATGTCAAACACCTTATTTCCAATATACCGTTCTATGATTTGCACTATGTATATTTCTCATCAATTCAATGAGACCCAATTCCAAATTAAACTCCTAAAGTTTTTCTTTTTATTATTTATCTAAGTTTGTAGAAATAAAACACGTAAAGCTACAGTCGTATATTTTCCGAATTAAAATGCTAAAGTGTACCAATGTGTCTCTAACTGTACAATATTAGTATTACATTAAATTGCAAAGTATTTACATTCAACAACAACCTACAGGTTTGTCCTAAAATAGTACATACATTTATGTTAATAATGAGACTTCCGGCGGGATCGTGCGATGAAACAAAAATGATTGTTTTCTGATTGTATCAATAACAAACATAACTTTTTAGATTGTCTAAATGTTGTCTAGAAGCGTTTTTTATAAAGTGTATACATTTAACGTGAACAATACTAGAATCGAAAAACCAAAAACAATAAAAATCACATCAGTAACAGTAAAAATTAACAGAAGACAGAACTGTCCATTGCACTGAATCAAATCTGATAATACTCCGGCGTATAATCGTTAGCCAAATTACTCAAAAAATTAAAGTCCGACGAACTGTTACTATTTTCACCGGTCGGTGCAACTTGATTTTGTGAAGACTCACTGGAATAGAATTGATGAAACGAATTGTAATTATCACTAGACTCTGTTTGTACACTCGCAGGTGGGGTCATTATTGTATTGTTCGTATTGGGGAAAACTTCCGGGGAAATGTAATTGGGATCACTATTGTAATGGTTATTCTCATAATAACCGACTTTTCCTGAATACTCTGGGTTTTTCTGTAACATGTTTTCATTTTGGTAGTAAGTCGCATTTGATTCGTGACCCATATGGGTGTTGGGCAAGTGAGCCACTTCACTACCATCGCTGGTGTAGTGGTAACCATAATGGTTGTAATTCGGGTGCTCACTTTGATAACCCTGAACGTAATTCTGGTGATTGATGTAATTCTCGGAGTTGGGATGGTTTTTGTTGTAGTAATACTGTTGTTGGTGGTTGGGGTAGTTGTACTGACGTCCTCGCGATATTCTTGTGACTCCTTGTGTTGGTACACTTGTGTTCCGAACATAAGGTTGGCTCTCGTTTACTGTTGTGTGTTCAGGGTTGTACATTTCACCAGGGTACATGTTTTGGTTTATTTGGTAGTGTTGTTGGGTGTGTTTCCGGTCGTTTCTATATTCTGGGTTCATTTGGTACTGATTGGGAAAATGCATTGACCCTCTGGACGCAAAAGGTGGAATCGTGTTACTAACATTTTGTATAGTGACAGTCGCCGATGCTATTGCTGTTGCTGTCGTCGGTGAAGATCGGTTCAAATGCGGGTACATCACATTTGAAGCCATCCCGACTGACCCAGGATGGATATTATTTCCTGTGGGTAGTGACGCACTTTTAGGTGACATTTTCACATTGACAGCTTCTTGACTTTCCTTCGGCGAAATCTTGCTCAATCCGATTTTTTTCTCGCAGGAATTTGGCGAATTCCTGCGATTCTCCACTTTGACACTAACAGAATTTACTTTTTTCGTTATTCTCGGTGATGGATGCAGGCCACTGTCTTCGTTCGATCGCGAATCTTCCTCGATGAGTTTATCAAAAGGACTCGAACTTCCTACACTACTCGCTCCGTTACTATTGTTGTTGAAATTCGTGTTGTTGTTTGTTGCACTTGGGGTGTTGTTGTTGTTGCCTCTCGTTGAACTGATGTCGGGAATTTCGTCGTGGGAGCCGCAAAGACCGGCCGAAGGCATTTCGCATCCTTGACAACTCTTCTTGGACATTTCGTCGTCCAAAAACTTGTCGGAGAGTTTACCGTTTTTGCCACCGTCGCTGGTGATCGAGTCTTTGTCGTCGCCGTCCTCGCCCTGTTTGCCGAGGGTTTGTCGTTTGTGTTTCATGCGCCGGTTTTGAAACCAAACTTTTACCTAAAACAGGATTTTACCATTTTGCAACTAGAGTTTTCAAGATGTACCTGACGTTCGGTAAGGTCTAGAGAAGCAGCTATTTCTATTCTTCTAGGACGACATAGATATTTATTAAAGTGAAACTCCTTTTCTAATTCTAACAACTGGGTGTTGGTATATGCTGTCCTTAATCTTCTTGGAAGTCCATTTTCTGCAAAAATATTATTATTATCTTTAATATCTGGAACGATAGTTTGTGGGTGGAATGATTCGGTCGAACTAGCAATTGTGAAACTTTTCATGTTTCCTATTTCCAAATAAACTTTGTTAACATCTGCCACCAGGTGGGATTTAATATCAGGATATCACTTGCTAACAATAAATCAGAATAGTGAATAAGAAACCAAATTTATAATTAATTTCAATCTTTATTTTAAAAATTTAATTTCTTAGCTAGACGGTAGCGCTCTTCTTTATAAATTCTCTGTGATCAAAACCTACTTAAGCCGCCATTACTCATTAGAGTCGCCATTGCACGCAAAATAATCACGGCTTTATGATTACATTATCCTTTACAATAGTTGTAATATAAAGAGTTGCTATCATATCAATTTCATGGTGTTTGACTACAAAAAAATGGACATCACAAAAATCCTCTCTGTCATGGACTTCAAAATCATGTAATGTTGGGGACAGTTATTATAGAAATTGTTGTAATTGAAATAATGATACAGCAGCATTGTAAACAACAATAGATGCTTCCAATTGTTAAAAATGTACGGTTGTGGGAAATTTAGATGCAAAAAACAATTACAAAAATGACAAAGAAGATCTGCGCCAAATAGAGTTATTGTTGACAATATATAATAATAAAAATTATTACGGCCTTGGCTTTTTTGATGAGGATAGTAAAAATAATAGAGGACGCGAGTTTGGGAGCTAATAATGTATTTAAAGATGTCAGGCTATTTCTTCAACACTTGATGCTTGTTGAAATAGTGTCAAAACGATGAGAGAAGAGGAAGTGAGCAAATTGTTATGAAAACAAGCTAAATTGTGTACTAGTGGCGAAATATCATTTTCATTTGATAATAAAAGTCAGCGATCCCAATCGATATTATTTGTGGTGTGTGTGTCAGGGTAACCTAGTGCACGAGTATCGTTCCCGCTTGCATAATTCAATTAAGATTAAGTAGAAAAACAAGATCACGCAAAATTGAAGTTATTTAAAACGGTTTTAAAATCGCTTAAAATGTGAATTAAATTTCACCCTCTTCGAGGCACCTACACATTTCCATTTAATTTTTATACGAAGTATTAAACGGGGAATAAAAATATTCCAATACATTGCGGGGCTTTTCGAAAAGCGAACGGTAGGGGAGGCGCGTGCAAAACTTTTTGATTGACAGCTGCGTCTGTCCAATCGCAACGCCGGAATACTGATGAGGAATACGTCAATCACGTACTCTACCTCGCTCTCTGTGTGTACCAGACGATTCTAAAGCTTCACGAGCATTGCTTGCGGTCATGATGAGGTTTTTTCCCAAACGATAAAGATGCTTATTAATTATTCAAATTTTTCGAAAAAGAAATGCCAAATGGTGCTATAATTGCGTCGCTTCAGGTGTACAATTTCAAAGATACAGACTCATAAATATTTAGATGCGTGCACGAGATTTTACACGCATTAGCCCGCAGAGATATAGGTGGAAAGAATTCCAAAAATTGTTATTTTCACAACTTTTTTAATTTTTCAAATTACAAATCAGTACACAGGAAAACATAAAATATGTTCTTCTTTAGTAATGGTCATATTTATTCCATTTATTTATTTTTTTTCCAATTTATTCCAAAATATTAGGTATAGGTACAACACTTGAGTGCAAAAAAACGCAAATTGTTTTTTTTTATAATGTACCTAATTTGGCCTGTTAATAAATGATGCCAGTTTTTTGACGTTGTCTTTGTCACAATTCACAATTTCATAATTGTCAGGCATCTTCCAAACTTCTATCAAGTTTTTCCATGTTTTTCCATTTTGTTTTTAACACTGACTATGACACTTTATTGACAAGACAGTCAATACATTTCTTTTGATATAGTTTTCTAACCATTTTAGGAACAATTTTTTTCACACTATGTAATCTCTGAAAAATTTGACAGTTAGCGTTTTTTTGCACTCAATTGTAAATACCTATAATACATTTATTTTTGTTTTAGACCAGAGTAGGCTATTTTATTGTCATTCAACCACAGTCTTATCATATAACTTGCCAAATTTCAATAGGCTACTCTAGATATCAAACAGTCAGCGTTATTAGTATTTTTAGTTGCGTACAAAATAAATTTTTTACTAGCCGTAGTGCGCTACTTGTTTATAAAATTTATTTTGACAATATTTTCATAAATCATTAGGTAGGTATAGGTTTTTCATTTTCAATTATTGTTTTTTAAACATCTTTGAATTACGCTTTGTGTATATTCTGCTATATACTTTAAATGTCTGAGCTCTATTAAGATTTATGACTTGGTTAATACTAACTTTAAAAATATAATTTTTAAATAATCTGTTTATGTACAATGAAAATAATAATACAAATAAATTATTTGAAATAGTATATTAAAAAACGAGTTTTAGAAACACTCCCATTGTGTTAAAATGCACGAGTATCACAATGAGAGGTTGTAACACGCGTTTTTATACTATTCAATTGAGCGCTTTTTAAATTAAATTTATTATTATATTTGACCGTCAAAATTTTTGACACTTTGACGTGTGCGGTATCCAAATTGCTTAAAAATAGCTTAAATTGCATTACTTTTGGTGAAATACGGTGAACTGCAACAATTTATTACTTAAAAACAACAGCCTATGACCAGTGATGGCCAAAGTATTGCATAAAATGTCACCAAAAATCAGTGTCCCAAAATTGCATTTTTTGCCGCTGTTTTCAGTTGCACAAAATGCCCATTGTGAGGCCAAAATAAAAAAACTTTTTTATTCAACTGTTACTAAATATCTTGTTACTACGTTGACCTTAAGCAAGCAAAATTAGAGTTGAGTTTGGTATTTCTGTGTGTACACACTCAACGTGTACACGTTGTTTTCACATCTGTTTTGTAAAAACACTGTTTTTTTGCATTTTTTTTACATTTCTAAAATTTTTAGTTACTATAGTTACCTACAATTAGAATACTGGTTTAAGGATAAAATATTACGTGTAGACAAAGCAATGTTTTCTTTTCAAAAAATAACTAAGTCAAACATTTTTCACTAGGAAAAAATCTTACTTTGTCAACTTGTACAATACCTAACTATGGAATCAAAAACGTGCAAAATGCATTTTTTAAATCTTGATATTTCTAAACATAAACATTTACCAGAATTACGATTTTGCATCATAATAATACCTACATAATGTACTACATTATGTTCTATAAGTAGTATCTGACTTATCATGCAATATTTTGTTAATTTTTGTCAATTTTTAAACATAATTTGAAAACGATTTTTTGACAATTCGAGCAGCTGGATTACTCCAGCGTTGACTTACTTTATGTAGAATTGAGTAAAAATTTCGAGTTGCAATTAGTTTTTTCAAAATTATTACAGTAAAACCTATCAACAACGGACACCGATGGGGAATTTTGATTTGTTCGTTATGAAGAGGTGTCTTTTAATGAGAGGTGTGCAAAATTAATAAAAAATAAATAAAAAGCCTTTTATTCAAAAGAACAAAATAAAATAAAAAAATGCAAAAATTAAGAAATCAAAAGCATTACAAGAAAATTAATTAATTAATTAATTTTTTTTTGTTTAGACCATTAGGTACTTATTATATTACTTTAACCAACAAGTTTTTCTTGGGGTTTTTCTGTATTGTGCAACTCATTAATGTAATCATTAAATCTTATAAAAGTTCATTTATAACACAGTTCACATTTACTGATAAGACTAAAACCATTCATTTATATTACTTATTATTGAAGTAAGTAGGTGGTAATGCAACAAAAACATTTAACTGTACACTGCTGGTTGTATTTTTGAGGACCAAATGGCAGCTCCATTTCATTTTACAAATTCCATGGTCGTAACCGTGAGATCGGCACCAGCGGCGGTGTATTTTTCTTCGTACGTTCTTTAGAGTAGACTTTAGTATTTGTTTTAGAGTATACTCCTCTGTCGGTCTGATGTCTGTTGTAGGAGGTAAATTTATATGTAAATGGGGAAAATTACTCTGTCCGCATCCGCTAATCAGAGTGTCCGTTGCAGAGAGAATTTTACATTCCTATGTATTAGTTACGTTCCTACAAAAATGTCCGTTATCAAGAGGTGTCCGCTATCTAGAGATGTCCGTTAAGGGAGGTTTTACTGTATTTTAAAGTGTATTAGCCCTTTGTCTTAGGTAATGAAATATTCACTTCAAATGCCTTTTCAGATTTTTGTATCCGATGAAAAATCTTCTACAATTTGAATAAATGTCTATTGTTTTATTTATTTGAAAATAAAATAAAATTTTATTTTATTTTTACTACTTGTGAAAAAATATAGCAATTAAATTATTGTAATAATTTAATAATATGTAGGAAACTAAAGAACTAACGAGACATTTTTCGCGATGTGTTGTAAATAGTACAGAATTAATAATTAGTCTTAGATGTTGAGTGTTTAGGTTGTGATGGGTTAAATGTGCGTTAAATGAATATTTATGGCGTTCAACAGGTCGATTTGTAGTGAAAATGTGTTGGAAAAGCTATAAATATATCGAGTGCCATAAAACAAATATGAAGGAAATCTCTGTAATCTGGCACCTGCTCTTACATATTGTCGAGTGTCACAGCCGGATACAGGCACGCGCTGCTTGTGGCCCGTTAGCAACTCCGGGTCCGGAGTTATAGTACCATAAATCCCCGCCAAAGCACTGCTGTCGACACAACCACTCGCGCCACTCTACTAACCACTGCTAACAACTCCCAAATTGCCATTTAGATATCGTTTTACTATCTACATTCCCCACGATTTCACTTAAAATACAACAAATTTAAATATTAAATAATTTGATTGTTTCGTGGTGAATTATTTATTTTTCTTTAGTTTGAATATTCATGAATGTATGTGCAAATTAATCAAATTTGAGTGGTCACTTGAGATGAATGTGGATTATATACGAAAGCGTGGTCAGATAAGAGACACATAATAATGTAGAGTGT